ACATTTATGAATTAAAGTGCTACAACCTTGTGCGGGAATGGCAGGGGCAGAAACACAAAACTCACACTTACACTCACACTCTCACAGACTATCTCTCTCACACACACGCACATACACACACATAAACACACATACACATACTAATAGCGGTCCCAGACAGTAGGCGGACAGAGTGAAGGTACACAGGACCTAAAATTTCCACTCTTTTATTGCCCCCGGGTCCAGTGGACCCGAACATCCTCTATGTGACATACTGTAAGTGTGTAGGGGGGTGTACAGTGTGTGGTCATTGAAAATTTGTTCTGATATATGTTCTTCACAGAAAATGAGCCAAGGCCAATGAGTATGAATCTAAAAAAAATCAAATATTATCATATAATTTTACTTTTGACAAAAAGTGAAAATGGGTCCCACAGAACCGAACGCCATACAAGGGTTAATGGAGTGTTGCTTAAATGTTTTAAGCATCAACTTAGTCTCAGATTTTGCTCTAAAATTCTTTAAGGGAAGAAATGATTGGCACAAATGAGGCAATTGTTGACATACAGTAAAAGTTAAAATTGTATAAAAGTTCAGTTCCCCTTCTAGGTTCCCTAAGAGTTCCCTAGAAGGGGAACTGAACTTTGGGGAATGGAGCCTGCATGACTGGTGTCTGAAGCACGTGTGAAACAATGCCAATCTATTGGTCTACCTAGCCCATGACGTCATATTTTCACAGGAAGTATATTCATATTGCCCGGAAGTATAAAAGGGCACCTACTGAATACGTCATCCTCTTTGCTGTCTTCAGGAACCGTCTGTTTGAAATGCGTGTGATAGACCAAGGCGGGTGAGCGTTGTGGAAAGTGTGTGCCTCTGTGCCCGAGGTTTCTGACACTTGAGGACACACACAATCTATGCGTTATGTATCTTGGTCGGGAGCTTGTGCGTTCAGTACTCGAGGGCTCTGAACGTGCTCATTGTCAGTGTCTCCAATGAGAAGCTCCGTTCGCGTTTGTCCCTCTTCTCGAGTGATGAGTGACAGGCGTTTGCGTCTCGCAGTTCGGGTCCCGCTGCTGCCGAGGCACAGCGAAGGACTCGGATCGTGGGATTTGCGGCTTAGGACACACGATCTATGTGTTATGTGTCTTGGTCAGGAGCTTGCGCGTTCAGAGTCCAAGAGCAATGAACGAGCAAGCTCCTGACCAAGACACATTGTCAGTGTCTCCAATGAGAAGCTCCGTTCGCGTTTGTCCCTCTTCTCGAGTGATGAGTGACAAGCATTTGTGTCTCGCGGTTCGGGTCCCGCTGCTGCCGAGGGGTTAAGATGCTCTTTTGGGTTATCAATCCTGTGTATAGCGCTTGAGTTGAGCAGTGCCTCAGGGAATGTGTGCCTCCATGTTTGGATTCGAACATTCCTCATATGGCTTGTTAACTGAGGGGGGTTACAGAGTATTTGTTAAATATAAAAACAAAATATATATTGTGTGTTTGAGTGGTCCAGACGCTACAAGGGCATATTCTGCTTTCGCGTTTGTCTCAGCAAAAAGCACGCACGTTCAGAGTTACGCGCTCATTGTGATGAGTCATCATGTCTAGGCTCCGCTCGTGTTTGTTCCTATTCCCGAGGGATGCGGGACGAAGCGTTTGTGGTTCGTGGCCCAGTTCGCTGTTGCCGCGGCACAGTTTATCCCAGCTCCCGGTGATTGTTTTGATCTGCTGGATCCGCACACCCTCTCTAAACAGGTTGTCAGATGCTGCAGATACTATTGGGTTGTTATGGCGATGAAGTGTTAGCATGGAATCATTTCAGCCTGATCCTGCGAGATCGTGGGCGGAGCTATATTCAGCTCTGCTGTGCCTCTCTAATATGCATGTTATTGTGTGTGGAGAGCCTCACTGGGCATGAATATATTTAATACTCTGTGGAGAAATGCTTGTGAGCTTTCTTTCCCAGGGTGTTTCAGCACCTAGAGTGGTTATGGGGAATGTCCCTTCCTGTACTAAGCCAGACGGGTTTAGGAGTGGGCTGCCTCCCCAGGCTTCTGGGTATTTTTAAGTGGGCGGTCCCTTTGAATCCCGCTTAGTGAGTTTGGGCTGAGTACACTGCTCCCCCTCTTCAGGGTTTTAAGTGAGCAGTCCCTGCTCAGAGTGTAGCTGTCTGCGGATGGTTATGCTCCAGCTCAGGCTTACTTTGATCTGGAATATGGTGGTCTGAGGGCAGCTATGTTCTAGCCTGGCTTGGGTTCCCCTTGGCACCAGTCTTTGTCCTGTCTTCAGCCTTATCTGAGGGAACTGCTATTCGAGGATAGCTGTGTCCAGCCCTCTAGTGTTTTTGGCCACAGCTTACATCAGGCTTTGATCTTGGATTGATGATGTTTATGTGTTCGCTCTTAGTGAATCATTTACTGATGGCCCGGATCTCCCTCTTGTGAGCTCCTGGTCAATGACATGGTGCTTTGCTAGCCTACCATTGGACTGACACGAATTGGGGGCCTCCTTAGTATAGCCATCTGACGGTGGTTATATTACAGCCAATGTTATGGCAGGACGGGCTTACTTGAATACAGCTATCTGAGGCTAGCTGTGTCTTAGTGGCAGTTGCAGTGAGCCCTCTCCTGGAGTGATCCTCTTTCCTAGAGCCTAGCTATCTGAGGATAGCTATGTGCTAGTTCAGTGATTGCTCCCCTGCCTAGGGTTTTAAGTAGCGGTCTCCTTGAGCCCTTGCCTAGACAGTGCTATCTCCCCTGCTAGGGTTGTAAAGTAGAAATCCCACTCTCTGTGGTCTGGACAGCTTTGCAGGAAGTTTTTTTTCTTATCTTTGAGCTCCTCTAGAGGCTTTCTAGTTAGTCTCTTCAGTGGTCTTGTGTATCCAGGCTTATATGGCTCACATAGCATAGCTATCTGAGGATAATTGTGCTCTTAACTTGGGTGGGATGTTCCCCTTGATCTAATCAGTTTCCCCATTTCTGCCAATTTGTGTGAGCGGCTCGTGGCGCAGTGGCATGGCCTCTTTCTGAGGAAAGGCTTGGTCTACATCTGTCACTTCCTGGGTGCTCCCCCACCAGGTGGACAGGCATGCGCCTCGGCATGGCATGGTTGGATTTCGTTCCCCAATGTTCCCTAGAAGGGGAACATCTCGGGTTACACATTTAACCATGGTTCCCCGAGAGGGAACGAGATGCTGCTCCCCCTCGTCATGCCTTTGGCTTGCCTGTTTACGTCTCCTTCAGACACCTAAGTGGATGATGTATTCAGCAGGTGCCCTTTTATACTTCCGTGCATCCCACCTATGACGTCATGGGCTAGGTGGACCAATGTATTGCTGTTGTTTCACACGTGCATCAGACACCGGTCATGCTGGCTGCATTCCCCAATGTGCCCCCTAGGGGCACACTAATAAACTTATTAAACATTACCTAATGATTAACAGATAATTATTTAATGTAATTTAAAATGCTAACAAATGTCATTAAACTTTAGTTTCACTTTATTTTAATGTTCCCTGTAACACATTCTGTTGACTATAAGTAACGTTGCACCTATATCTACTGACTCTCATTAGAGTGTTAGTAGACTGGTAGGGTTAAGCCTGTGTTATGCTTTCCACGTCAACAATCCGGACGCGAACACGGACAGCGCGGACACGGACTACTTGTATTTATACTACCGAAAGCATACGCTGATGGTCCACTCTGCGGACGTGTTCCATACATGCGTAGTAGATCGGTTTGAACAATAAACAACCATGTGAACAAACAATTGCCCAGAGTTATAGTCTTTATATTGTTTTACAGAATCTACAAATGATTTGAACAGGTCTTATAAAATTATTAAAAGCTTTTGTTAATGCACAACGTTTTTTTTTGTGCTATTGAGGTGGGATACGGTAAGGTTAGGGACAGGTTTGGTGGTTGGTTAAGGGGTCAAAAGTGTAGAGGGGTCTGTTTGATTACTAGGGAACACGGTTTAGTCTATTTATATTACATTGTTTTGATAAATTAAGCATTTTCTTGAAAAAAAAATGATTTATGACTCAAGAAATATTATTTTTAAATGATACACAATAATTGTCACGGCTGGATAGAGAGGCATACACAGGAAGAACGATTCAGAGCTTCTTTATTAACACAAACTTAAGGAGAGCTTCAAACGGTAAGTTTTAAAACTGAAACATAACGTTAGCTCTTGAAACTGAAGTGTAACAGTCCTTATCTTAATCCTCTTTAAGAAGATCCAGCAAGACGGTGGGAGACACAGAGCCATGGAGATCCAGAGCGATGTGGAGAGGCATGAGGTAAGGTGATGGCGCAGACCGAACAACCCTTGACATAGCGGGCGACATCCTGAGCCAATGCGGAGTATCTGTTCCGGAGAAGCGAGAGGGTTTGTTGGCTGCCTGGGTGACCCGATCCCAGAGAAGTGGGGATGGAGGTTCCGGGTTATCTGGTGATGGATCTGGTTGGTGAAGTCGTGATAAAGCATCTGCTTTGAGGTTCTTGTGCCCAGGGCGGTAGGTTACTGGGAAATCGGAAATGGGTGAAGAATAAGGCCCATCGGGCTTGTCGGGGATGGAGATGTTTAGCTTCACGGAGGTATTGGAGGTTCTTGTGATCAGTTATGACTTCGAAGGGATGTTGAGCCCCTTCCAACCAGTGCCGCCACTCTTCCAGCGCGAGTTTGATGGCCAGTAACTCGCGGTTCCCGATGTCATAATTTTGATCCGCCGGGGACATCTTCTTGGAGAAGTACGCGCATGGATGGAGTACGGGGGGTTCACCCTTCCATTGGGATAATACTGCACCTACTCCTAGAGTGGAAGCATCCACTTCCACCATGAACTGATGGTTCGGATCTGGATGGGTTAGGGCTGGAGCAGTGCAGAAAGAGGATTTGAGCTGCAGAAAGGCCTGTGTGGCTTCAGGCGTCCAGGAGAGGGTCTTTGGCCTACAACGGAGGAGAGAGGTAAGTGGAGCCGACCGTTGACTATAATGGGCTATGAAGCGCAGATAGAATTTTGCAAATCCCAGGAATCTCTGCAGCTCTTTGACCGTGGTAGGTTGTGGCCAATTCCTCACTGCTTCCACCTTGTTCTGGTCCATTTGGACTCCCTCTGGTGTGATAATGTAGCCCAGGAATTGAATGGTGGTTAGATGGAACTCACACTTTTCCTGATTGAGGTAGAAGTGGTGCTCTCGGAGACATTGGAGTACCTGGGAAACATGCTGTTAGTGTTCCTTAAGATTGGGTGAGTAAATGAGAATGTCGTCAATGTAGATGATTACGAATTGGTTGAGCATATCACGGAAGATTTAATTCATGAAGTTTTGGAAGATGGATGGTGAGTTTGAAAGGCCATACGGCATAACCAGGCACTCGTAGTGCCCAGATGGTGTTATGAATGCAGTTTTCCATTGGTCTCCTCTTCGAATGCGGATTAGATTGTAGGCACTGCGTAGATAGAGTTTTGTGAAGATCCGGGCACCACAGAGCTCCTCCAGCGAGGCTGGCACCAGAGGGAGTGGATAGGAAAATTTGATGGTTTGGGAGTTGAGTGCTTGATAGTCGACACAAGGGCGTAGGCCTCCATCCAATCCGTTCACCATGGAAGTTTCCGATGCGAAGAGTGACTTCCGGGGTGCGATGGCGCACCAACCCCTTGCTCAGCGGTTTTCCTTGAATATTGGAGATTTGGTAGATGGTGGAATTACAGTGTTGAGGGAGCTTGATTTGAGTGAGACTGATGGAGGAGATGAAATTTCCTGAAGCTCCCGAATCCACCAAGACCTTGACTGGAAAAAGAGTGGTTCATGTACATTAGAAGGGCATCAATGTAAGGCATACTTGAGACATCAGGATGAATAGGGACAGTACTCACCGCTGAGCGCGGGGGTTGAATAGGGCAGGAGGGCAGAAGGTGCTCCTGGGACCCACAGTAAATACAGAGCCCTTGGGTGACTCTGCGAGCACGTTCCGTGGTTGATAGATGATAACGGTTAGTTTGCATCGGCTCGGGTGCTGTAGGAGCATTGCTCGGTGAGGTGGCAGCGGATGAGGAATCCTCAGTGTGACAAGCGGTTAGATGTTGGGAGATGTGCAGCGCTTTTTGCAGAGAGCTCTCTAGACCCACGGTGTCTTCATAGATAGACATTTGCTGTCTGATTGAAGGGTTTAGACCACGTCGGAACGCTGATAGAAGGGCCGTTTCGTTCCATCCGTTGCTTGCCGCGGGGGTACGGAATCAAACTGTATAATGACGGATGGACAAATTTGCTTGCCGTAGTTGGAAGAGCTCATCGTGCACGGAGACTGCCGAGGTAGTTTTGCCAAACACCTCGCAGAAATTATCCACGGAGGCATCATAGAAGCGCACAAGTGGACTGCGCAAATTCCAGAGAGCTTCAGCCTATTGCAGCGCACTTCCAGACATTAGAGAAATTAATGCGATCATCGCTCGATCATTCACAAACTGATGGGGTTGTAATTCGAAGTATAGTGAAAACTGGAGTAGAAAACCCCAGCAGGCGGACGCCTCACCGGAGTAGGTCACGGGTTTGGCCATGGGACATGCAGAGGCCGATGGCATGACGGTAGGAGGCTGAAGGGATTCACGGAGTGCTTGAACCAGTTCGGTGAAGGGATCTGGGGTGAGTGGTCTCTGTGCCTCCATAGCAAGCTTCAATCCGTTAATTTTACTTCTGTTTTGAAGGACTGGTCTTCTGTCACGGCTGGATAGAGAGGCATACACA